TGTGTCATTGCTGATGGTCTTTACACTGGGAATCAGTGCGTCGGCCACTGAGGCCAGGGCCGACAGCGTCATGACCCCGTCCAGAATGCGGTTGTTTGACAGTCCACCAGGAGACCAAAGTGTGATAGGAAGTCCACGCTGATGAGGGAATGTGTGACGTTGGCCACCACGAACCGCCACGTGAAATCTCGCCTTAGGCCAAAGTTGAGGGTGAGAGGCAGCCACCCATATGTGTGGATGGTAGTGCCATTAGCAATACATAGGTCATAGTTGGTACGTTCCTTACGTCGAGGGACAAGCTTGCGGGGGTACACGCAGAGGTCTGAACCTGTGTCGAGCAGGAACTGCCGTTTGCTGACTTTGTCCGTTATGAAGAGGCTGCATGTCATCGTAGTGCAGACATGTGCTGCTGCTGATGTCTGCTGGGTCAGTTTCTCTCCTGGTGGTAGGAGCAGGGCATAATACAGTTTTGGGCCTGAACGATGAAACGGTGATGGTACCAGCAGGTAGTGGATGTGGTGTCACCACAGAAGGGGGATCTGCTGACTGGCCGGCGGCTGTTGAAGGCAGGGCTGGAATCCTTGGGGATAGCCGCCTCACACGCTTGGTCCTCAGTAGGGTGTAGGGGTCTTGTTTGGGCAGAGAGGCAATGATATCCTCCACCTCTGGCGTACCGATGATCCAGCTGCAAAATCATGTGGCAGAACTTGATGCGCTCGCTGCTAATACCGGCCAAGGTGAATTATGCCTCGGCCTGGGCGAACCACATGGCTGGTCACTTGGGCTAGAACGGCGGGAGCCGCACAGCCACTCTGCATACTGCTGCTTGTGAACTGTGAGGTGTCAGTGCTGAGTTGGGGTCACCAATGTGGGATATTGATGTTCTAAGAGACAACCACGTAAAACTATAACAATTGTATATGTTATTCTCGAATGTACAGAATAGTTGCTCACAAGTTTGCGGGCCCTGAAAAGGGCCGTTTATTCAACCGTGCTTGCCCTAGTAGCATTAGCTGTTTTGTAGCAGACCGTGTCTTCTTCATGGCCGTTCAGCTGATCTGACTGGCAATGACAGCTGTTGTCTCGGCACAGTTGCTGGAGAGCTGTTGCTGCTTCTTGACATCAGAGTAGCTGCGTTAGCTGTCTTTGTCGTAGTGAGGATGATCGAAGAACTGATGATAGCCAGTTTTGTGCTCCGCCTTTTATACCATGCTTGTTGGGTGGAGCTAAAGTTGCAGTTGCGATTGTGAGCGCTAATTGGCTAGCGCACATGATGCTCTACAGGTGGGCTGGACATCAAGTGCTGTATAAATATGAGTGCTGGCCGCCATGTGACATTGACTTGGCTTGAGCAGAAGTTGAATGCTGTCTGTTAGACAGATGAAGCTGCATGTTAGTATGTGGGGGTTCCCACACTTGTTTGAGAGTATCACCTAATATGTCATTGGAGCTAGGTATGTGAAATTTTATGTGGCAGTATATCATGCTCGCAAATTATGCATAAACCAACTTTTTGTATGTTAAAGAAAACTCCATTGTTATATGTGATCAATTTAATGTGTTCACAACTCTTTACTAGTAAATATTATACACAGAAATGTATCCCTAACATATATGATTATTTTGTAGTTCCTGGTCACTTCACCTATAGATTAAAGCATTTGAAGAAAAGTATTCATGCTTTTCCCACAGTTTGTTTTATATCAGTGCCTCTTTAATGCCTTAATGTGTCTCCAGACACTGTGTCTTATGTAGAACCTTATATTTTCAAAATATGATGGCAGTTGATGGAACATAAAAATGAACTGGTTTCATGTTGGCTTGGCGTTGAATTTCTTCTTGCTAACTGGCATGGTTTTTATATGTAAATCCTTGTGCTTCACAGCTAGATGGATAAAGCAACACTAATGTGAACTAATATCTTATTTTGATTGGCATAATGGTTTGGTTCTTCAGCATTTTCTTAAGTTTGTTTATTGATTTGAAATTCATTTTAAAAATCTATATGCAGTATACATGTACGGGTAAAAGGGAAAATAGTAATGCTGTGGATAACATACTGAGTTCTTCTTCACTTGTACCTTGAGTATAAGGGGCAACACCAGTTTAAGAGTTTGAACACAAAATTTAAATATTCTCAGTGTGTTACTCTGTAAAATTCTACATTCCCATACTGTTTTACTTATAATTGCTAAATGCTGTAACAATAGATAACACGTTATAAGTTCCTCTTGTAGATTAAATTCTGTCATTAACAGAAAAATGTGACAGTGCAAAAATATGTTTGATATTCATTTCTTGTTTTCATCCTTTAAATCACAAGTAGTACTCTAGTCCATCCATTTTTTTAAGTTTTTATAATTCCTTGCAGAATAAATTGAACAGTGATGTTGCACTAGCAGTGCTCAATGAATACTACATTACTTTATACAGACGTTCCTTGGAAACCATATTTATTTGTGACTTGATAAATAGATAAAATTTATCATTTCTTCCTTACCTTGTACTGGATTTACACATTTTAAACATCCATGAATTGGAAAAAGTGGTTTTTGAAACATTTAAATACATTTTAGAGAGACATGTTGCACGTAAGCCGGTAACTGCATATGTGGTTTCTTCAGAAAATGGTACACCATCTAGTGGACCAAACCCATGTATAAGAAAATATGTGCAGTATCTTTGTGTTGATTTTTATTTATGTCATACTGATGCTAGACTATGAAATTTCCCCCACATTTGTCAACCTTGAAAATAAAAGAGCATTGGAAAAAGTGTTTAATGTGCATGTGTGAATTGTGGTGGACTTTTATGATGTTCTTATTACTGATGGTACTTGACAAATACTGAACTATTGTGCAGCCACCATTTTCATACATTGCAGATTAAGCTGTCTAAAATAACCTTTCTTCACTGTATTCACTATTTAGTGGCTAAAGGATTTTGTTTTTCAGAATTTATTCACAGTTGGAACAGGTTATAGGGCTGAATTCATGAAAGCTAATGAAAAAGATGATGTTTGCCATTGAAGCATCCACATATTTCTTATGGTGTGAAACCTTGTCTCTGATTCTGTTAGAGGAGCATAACTTGCAAGTATTTAAAAAACTAAGTATTCAAAATATTTGGACTGAACACGGATGGAGTTGGGAAGCAATTATATAAGAGGGAAATTATACAAGTTACACAATCATATAGCTTTTCTAGAATTATGAAAATAGTTCAATCACAGCCACACTGTACTGGACAAACAATTCAATGGAGAAGAGATGCATTCAGAATTTTGGTGAGACATATCTTGAGAAGTAAAAGTTTTCAAAGTCAGTCAAGGAGATGAAGAGTATAAAATGGATCTTAAGAATATATCTTGTGAGCATATGTTCATCTACATCGAATTACTTTAGTGTATGGTTTGCAGGCATGCTTTATGGTGAAAATAATTATGTATCTGTAGGTTCAGAAACATGAGGAATTTATGTTTTGTCACTGTCCTTCTGGTTCTGTATTAAGCTCTGAATCCAGGACAGTTTACAGACACTTGCAAACTTCTTGTATACTCAGTAGGTATCAGTGCAACAACACAGGCATTGCATGGCATGGCATGATCATAGATACATTATGTCTTCATTACTTATATAAATGATACAACATGCAGTTTATAGATACACCTTCGCAATGGTCATTATGAAGAGTTCTGTAATCTGGGATGTAACACCGATATTTCAGAGAAATATGTCATTTTCATCTTCAGGGTCAAAGAATAAGCCAGGCAGGAAACCAACATGAAGCAGGCTTTGCGTGCTGCCTGCTTCAAGCTTGTTTCTTGACTGGCTTATTCTTCAATTCTTGAGCTGAAGATGACATGTTGCTCCAAAATTTTGGTTGCCTTTCAGCAGACTACACATTGGATTATCTCAGAAGATGGAATTTTTCATAAGTTTTATACAGTTATATCAGTTTTGTTGTTGGTGTTTTTTTTTTTTTAGTTTGATGAATATGTGTAGGTATAGAAAATAAATTAATTTAGGTTTTCAACAAGTGGCATCCCTGATTGACTAATGTGGCTTTATGTGTGCACGATTGTGCACAAGTAACACGTGCTTGAAACTGAATATCACAGTCCAGCTTCATATTCAAGAGATTTATGATTCAAATATTGGGTGAGTGATTTCTTGCCTAGATATGTGTGAATGTTTCACAAGATACTATATGAATACCTAGCAGATTGGTATAGTGATAATGTTTTGTACTTCTATGTGTTCAAATTTCAGTTTACTTTCTGGCTATCCTAAGTGTCTGATTCATGATTTGCTTTAGTTTCTCGAGGCAAATAACAGGGTAGTACTTTGAAATGGACACGAGCCATATCTAGTTTTTCATTGGCACCATTCTTGATCTTCCACTATCTTTGAATACCAAAAAGACAGAATTGTTATATAAACTAGAAATATATATGTATATACAGTGTAAATGATGTGAACCAAAATTAAATGTGTAGGGAAAACATGTACAGAATGCTAGTATTCATTTTTTTTTAGTTAAATTGAACTAGTGTTTAAGCCTGTTACTGAAGGAAAAATATTTTATTTATAATTGAAGAATTTCTGGGAACAAAATCAGTGTTATGACATTGCATATAGTATTTGGTGTATCAGTGCTATAGTACACAGCATGATTTTCTTTGTGGTGACACTGTTTCATCTCTAAGAATGAAGGGATTGGGAATGAATATATTGTGTAAGTAAAAGTAAAGCTATCCCTGTAACAGGCTGTGAAGGCCCATAGTGTTGTGAGACATTGAGGGTCCCACATTATCTAGATAATCGGCTCAAAGATGGCGGTAAGGTTGAATATATTGTGTAGTGCATCAATATAATGAAGATTCTGAAAACTTAAAATCAAGGATCCCTTACATAAATCGCTACACACGTGATAATCCTTCAGTATGTATGCTTTTATATGTTGTGCCACTTGTAGAAACTTAACTTACTTTGTTGCAGCTGCGTGAATCGCAGGCACGAGTGGAAGAGCTAGAGACTTCCAATACCCACCTTCAGCGGAGGCTTGACAAGCTGAAGAATGCCAAATCTGCACTTCTTAAAGAACTTTGATAGTAAGTTATCATCCCAGTCCTAGCCTTACATCACATGTCACATCCATCCAGCCTGCCTGTACACACAAGAAGCACTGTAATAATAAGTAGTTGAATTGGGATAACTGATATCAGTGACTGGTATAGATTTTTCAACACATGTTCCTTGAGTCAGTAATGTCTGTGGTAGACTGTAATGCAGAGCAATGATATATAAATATGTATACCAGTGTATCTATTTATGTGTACATTTCTTTTGCCATGCAGGCATTTCAATTTTTGTATAGCATTAACTGGGCTTCGTATATATATTACTGAATTCCAAAGCCATTTTTGTTTTCCTCCATTCTTTTTTTAATTGTATGAATGTTTTTAACTAAGTAATTGAATCATGTCCAGGAGCTAACTTCTTTGTGTGCAAGAAAAATGTTACTGTATTTTTCTGCAGATACAACATTACATGTTTAGTGAACTATGTACTTGGTTAAACCATTATCCTTAAAATTTGGAGCTTGTGTACCCTTTGAGAGGTGCTCTTAATTCTCTTTTAAGGTCTTTTCTTTAAAGGAAAAATTCTGCATGATGCTGCATGTTTGTATGTCCTATAAGGAAATTATTTTCATGTGATACAAGTTAAAAACACATCTGCCTTTTTTAGTTAACTGTGGTGGCAGTGGCAACTTTGACACAGCAACATAAGTAATGCCTATCTCTTTGAAACTTCGTATAGTGATAGACCTCTTCAAAATCCATAACTTTAGTTGAGATAATTTTTGTCTAAATTTGGTACTAACTTGGCAACAACGCCCAGTTTTAATTATGCAGTTGATTAGCCATTGAAACTTTAGTGTGGTGGAGGATTATGGATGTATCTGCAGATCTACACAGAGATTTGACTTGGTTGGGGAAGTAACAGACGTCATCCTTAAGTTGGTTAGGTGTTACTTTTTCTAGAGGTTTTTAATTTAATTATGCCTTCAGTGGAGGTGTTTACACAAACAACTTTCTCATATTGAGGAAGGACCATCATGAATGCTAGCTTCACTTGGCTTATAGTTAAAATTATTTTACCCTTCACTTTATATTCATGCCTAACTTTGCATAGATGAAAATATTTATGGCAGTGCCTAAAATCTGTTCATGTTGTCACAGAACATTTTTACATGTTATATTGTGACATGAGCTTGTGGTCAGGGTTAAACACACATCGACTTTAATTGACAGCAGGTGGATTTACATTTTGCACCGTGCCGTTCGTCTTCTTCTCCTTCTGACTATTATTATGTTATTATTATTACAAAGAGGAAGGGCACAGCGCAGTCGTTACTGGCCCTATTGTTGGTTCCCACCCTCCCCTAGATGGACACGGGGTATCCAAGCTAGGAGGACGAAGCTACACTCAGTTCGTTGGCTTAGATAAGAACAAATACAATTTTAATAAAAAAATATATATAACAATACATAAATAACAAACGACACATTTGACCAAGAAAACAAATACAAGCTCATTCAGAACAAACAATTTCCCGTCTGCACCACTTGTGTCGACACTAGACATATTAGGACGTTAAACCCTCAGGCTATACAAACACAAGTCTAATTCTGAAAAAAATACCAAACCAAATCTAATAACGTGCGTTGCAAGCGTTCAAGCAACGGCTTGCGACCGTGGGCAGTCCTTACCGGCCAGCCAGATAGCACCAAAAGGGAATTTAGAACAAACCCAGCCGAAACCAATATTTTCCACAACAAACCTGCTGGCTAGTAACCGACCTTCCAAGTCAACTTGGTCTACACTACTGCACTGTACAAGTCTCCCCTTCACGAGAGGGTACATGGGACCACGTGACTGACGTCAGGATACTGCATAGTGGGGGATGGAATCCGTCAAGGGAAAGATAATGACATCATACGTGAGCGAGCTAAACCTTAGAACGGCTCAATTCCATTAAATAAAATACCAGATTTGATGGGTAGAGTATGCTTTCATTTGTTGGCCACAATACATATATTCATTTTTTGTGGCATTTGGAGTGTTTGCACAGTAAGTGGATCCATGTTGGTACATATCTTTGTTAAATTCTTAAGAAACTGCATGTCACATGAGGAAACCTTATTAATATGTTATATATTTAATGGATCAGAAGAAAAGTTATGTAGTATGTATTTAACAGAATGGAAGGAAAAATAATTTCATGCCTGTATGCACTCAGATGTGTCAAGTCTTGGGTAGTTTCGTCAGTAATAAGTTTGTTTAGGTAATAATTATTGTCACATAGTATGAATGTGACTATCGACGGGGTTTTGGATTGGATATTGGATTTATTGACCAATTACAGGTTGTAACTACAAATAACTATAAAACTATTGATAGTTTCCACTTTCCAAATCACTAGAGTGTGTGCTATATCTTTTCCAGGCTGAAGTCCTCTGTGAATGGCAGTTCTCTTCCATCTGCCTGTTGCAACTAACTCACAGGCTTGTAGCCATTTTATACCATCCTCCTAGCCTTCTCTTCACATACTGACTTTCAACTGAAAACTGTCACTGACTTGGTCACCCCAGTTGTATTCCTGATAACCCCTTGGCACAGCCTGCACAAACAACAGTGTTCATTCTTGTATGCTAACTGTTTTTGTGGGAATGTGTATACCAAGCCACCATCTATTCTTCCTTATTAAGAATCTTCTGTTGCCTAGCAGCGGACATCATTCCGTAGTCTGTTTTGTGGTCGTTGCCTAGAAACGAATGCTCTTTCAGAGCCATTCACTAGCAGTGGTTGTCTGTCTGGCTCAGCAGTTCATGCTTTGAGCAAATGTGCCACAGTACATAAAAATCAATGTTATACATAAATTTTTAAGGAACTTGATTGGGAAATTATTTATTTTGATTATCCTTATTATTTAAGTACACATCAATAATGCAACAGTATAAAAGACATCTACAATATGTCACTCACTAAAAATGTATTTTAATACTTTATAATGTTAAAATCATTAAAATGTCAGTAGGACACTAAAAGTATATTTTATACATTAAAAGTGATTATCAGAATTTCTGAAATGTCTCTAATTTTGCATGTATTTTTCCTAGTTTTACGACATGTTTCGGCCTCACATTACATTATATTACATTACATTGCATTGCATTCCATTCCATGGATCCAAAGTTAGTCAAAATGACTGTAGGATGTGGAATATGTCATATAAATACAAAACATATGTACAGTCCCAATTGAGTTCTCACACAAGAGGAACCAAGAATACACAGTGACTACACACAAGGCTATCTAAAGATACATAAGTTATTTTCTAGACAATAGGTATTGTGTATTTAAGTATCGTTTCAGTGCTATTTTAAATCATGCCTTTTCATTCATAAGACCTTTGAGATCAGATGGCAGGTTATTAAAAATATTGATCCCAGCATAATATGCGCTTTTCTGAAAGCATGAGAGGTTGGCAGTTGGTTTATGAAGACAGTGTTTGTGTCTTGTGTTAACACTGTGTACATCAGCATTCATCTGAAAATGTTCTTTGTTATCTGTAATTAAGTTTATTAATGAATACATACACAAGGAAAAGTTAAGATCTGTAATCTCTTAAGTAGATCTCTACAAGAATTATGGGATTTGACACCCATCATGATTCTAACAATTATCTTTTGCAATGTAAATACCTTTTTACTGTCAGATGAATTACCCCAGAAAATTATTCCATACTTCATTAAAGAGTGAAGGTAAGCAAAATAGATTGATTTGATAGTGTCAATGTTACTAATATGTAACATGAATCTAACTGCATAACATGCTCTACTTAACTTTGGAATCAACTAATCNACTTTAGAGAAAGTAGTTAGCAGTGAACTTGGCCTGTAGTTTGACATACTAGTCTTGTCCCCCTTTTTATATGGTGGTCTTACTACTGAAATCTTAAGACGATCAGGAAAGATTCCTGTGGATAGTGAGTGATTACAGATGTGAGTTAATGGGCTACTGATTAGAGATGCACAAACTTAAAATTTTACTTGTTATTCCATCATAACCTGAAGAGTTTTTTGTTTTGAGGGAATGTATTATACTTTTTATTTCAGTTTCAGTGGTTGGAATGGTTTTAATACCAGGGAATTTTCCAGGAAACGCCTCTCTTAAAAATGAGATGACGTTATCTCCCACTTCTTGATGCAAGTTTAGAGTTTCTGTAATTGTTAGAAAAAGTATTGAAGGCATCTGCAATTTCTCCTGGGTCCTCAACTTTTTCATCGTTTATAAGGAGAGATGGTATCTGTTCAATCAGATGTGATTTTCCTGTTTCATGTATTATTATATTCCAGGTTGTTTTTATCTGATTATTCAGTTTTGCTATAAGCCTACAGTAATGCTGCCTTTTAACCTCTCTTATAACTCTACTCGCGATTTTGCAATACCTTATGTAGTATGCTCTCTTATAGGGATTATTACTGCTCCTGCTTTCTATATACAAACGCCTTTTATGTTTACAAGATATTTTTATTCCTTGTATAATTCAGTGGTTTTATATTCTACTTACACTTTTATTCTGCATAGGAAAACTGGCTTCAAACATATTTAGAAAAATATATAAAAAAGAGTTAAACTTACAAGTTATATCCTTATTTTGAAAGCAGGTTCCCACGTTTCATTTTCTAATAGATGTTGAAATTGAGCAATGGTTTCACTATTTTTTTCTGGTTCTCTGTTTCAAGGGTGTCGAATTTACTTCCGTAATATTATTATTTACTGTAAGAAATTGAGCATCATGGTCTTAGAGGTCGTTACTGTAGGAGATGTACAAGAAGAGCTTAACCTTGCATTATCTATAAAGATATTATCAATGGCTGTGCTGAATTTTGAACTCTTCTTGTGAAATTTACTGTGTGTGACAGTTTGTATGTCCTTATTAAAGAGTTTACTTTTTTTTTCTGACTGCTTTTATTTAAATAGTTTATCATCAGGTGATTTTTATTTTCGGGGAGACCACTGCACTGTTCACTTGTCACCTGATGATGGCCCATGTTAGGCCGAAACATGTCGTAAAACTAGGAAAAATACATGTAAAACTAGAGACATTTCAGAAATTTTGATAGTCCCTTTTAATGTATAAAATATACTTTTAGTGTCCTATAGACATTTTAATGATTTTAACATCATAAAGTATTAAAATACTTTCTTTTTTAGCGAGTGACATATTCTTGATGTCTTTTATATTGTTGCATTATTGACGTGTACTTTAATAATGAGGTTAATGGCTCAATGCAACGGGTTGGTAAAATATAATGTGTATTTTGAACTGGAGTGCATCTAACTATTGTTGTTACAAATTGATATATGAGAATGCAAGGAACAGATGGCCCATGGAGAAAATATCAAATGCTCCACATTTACTATGGTGAGATTGTCACACATATATAATGTCTGTGCCCCTTTTAGTTGAAAAGGTTACCTAATTGATAATGTTAGCTTCTTTTGCATCTGGATTTCGATAAGTTCATTCTGTCTTAAAGTTTGTGACAGTGGTCCATTGCTACAAGTATCATGTTTTTGGACATTATCTGTCGTCTTATGTAGATTGAAAAGACATCCTGTTTGTTTTTCAAAACACAACGTTTTGGAGACAGAGCCCAGTCTCCAAAACGTGTTTTGAAAAATAAACAGGACTGTTTTTAAATATAGACAAGATGATGGATAATATCCAAAACCATGATACTTGTATCATTCTGTTTTATCTGGTGCATGTATATTACCCTATGAAATGTTTTATTTCAGAAACGCGTATGTAGATCGGTATCTTTTGGCGTATAATGCCTTGTAGTCCTTTGAAAGTCAACTGGCCTTTAGAAGGAACATACTGCCTCCATCTTCAGGGTTGAATAAGCCGAGCAAGATACCGGCTTTGCTTGCCACCTGCTTTCCCACTGGTATCTTGCTCTGCTTATTCTTTGACGTCCATGATATATATGTATTGGCTGTCTTCTAGTGCACTCAATCTCACATGTCTCTTCACTACATGTTTTGGCATCACTGTGCCATCCTCAGGTGTGTTATTTATGTTAAACTATTGCACTGCTCGCCATGTGTCATTTATAAAATTATTTAAAATATATATTCTTCATTTACTATAATAAAATTTATATATATTAAAATTTGTTAAGATTTATCATCTTACAACCAACCCCAGTCACACTAAAGATAGACCAAAAACAACTGGAGAATGTGAAATGTTTTAAATATTTGGGTAGCTTGTTAACATATGATGGAAGGTGTACTAGTGAAATTAAATCCAGGATTGCCATGGCAAAAGCTGCATTTAGCAAGAAGAAGAATCTTTTTACCAGCAAATTGGACTTAAATTTGAGGAAGAAACTAGTGAAATGCTACATTTGGAGCATAGCTCTGTATGGGGCTGAAACATGGACACTTAGGGCAGTAGATCAGAAACATCTGGAAAGTTTTGAAATGTGGTGTTGGAGAAGGATGGAGAAGATCAGTTGGACCGATTATGTGAGAAATGAAGAAGTGTTAATTAGAGTCTGTGAGCAGAGGAATATCCTACACGAAATAAGAAAACGGAAGGCTAATTGGATTGGTCATGTTTTACGCAGAAACTGCCTTCTAAAATAAGTTATCGAAGGAAAGATAGAGGGGCGGATAGAAGTGACAAGAAGACGAGGAAGAAGACGTAAGAAGATGCTGGATGACCTTGGGGACAGAAGAGGATACTGTCATTTGAAGGAGAAAGCTCTAGATCGCATTAAATGGAGGAATTGTTTTGGAAGAGACTGTGGACCTGTCGTCTTGAAAGATTACTGATGATGATGATGATTATCATCTTATACGTCTTAATTCAAACTCGCGTATTATATCATTCTTCCACTATGGGAGTCGTTCTTCCTATATTTTGTGTATGGCGAGCAGTGCAATAGTTTAACATAAATAACACACCTGAGGATGGCACAGTGATGCCGAAACATGTAGTGAAGTGACATGTGAGATTGAGTGCACTAGAAGACCGCCAGTACATACATATCATGGACGAGAATCGGTGCAACAGGACGCTAAAATACAACATTATTCTTTGACACTGAAGATGGAAGTGATAACATTCCTCTGAAATTTCAGTTTACTTTCAGTGGACTACATGGTGTTATATCCTGAAAGATACTACTCTTCTTAACCACTGCTGTGAGAACCTCGAATCCTACATACAATTCATGTAATATAAAAATCATAAAATATTTTGATCAAACAGTGTATGTTTTTAAAATGCTTATTTTATGCATACTCCTTGAATCACATGAAAAAGAAAATGGTAATAATACATGGTAATAAATGGCTAGCACTTCTGCTTCATATTTGTGAGGTCCTAGATATGAATTTTTGCTCAGAGACCAGCTGTCTGAGGTTTATTGTAGTTTTCTTTAGTCTCCAATCAAGTGCTAGGATGGCACCTAAAAAACAGAATATAACTTCTTCTTTCCACATGCTTTCTAATTCATCATATACTCTCATCCTACCAGTCACAGCAGTGTAACCTGTGCAGTGAAAAACGAGTCATTAAATAATCCAAGAATCCATCTTATACTTAAGTGGAGTAGGAGGGTGTCTAGTTCTCTGCTTCTGATGTTCCAAGGCTGAAAGGTGACACTGCTGCTAGCTTGCTTGCTTGCTTGCTAGCCCAGTCAGTTTCTGAAGTACACTAGCAGTTCGCAGTATTTGATGATAAAGGAATGAGTAACTTCACAATTTGCATGCATGCAAGGAGTCACAGAATGAAAAAGTTAAATAGTTCCGTCCAGCATGACTGGTTAAGATTTTCTTATTTCAATTATTCGTGCTCTTACATGTTTCGGTCTTCAGAGACCATCTTCAGAGGGACACCTTTACATAAATACTGTTAGAAGCCACCATTACAGTACATGTTCTAAAAGTTAAAATATATACATACAATATAAATAATATACAATTGGCTGTAAAATCTAAAGTCTTTACAACTACAGTGGCTGTTCCAGTACATTAAAATATTTTTAGGTAGTTTGTTAAGATTCTGTTGGAATTCATAAACCAAGCTGGTTCGTGTTGTCCATCTTATTATTTCTTTTGATGGGGGCCGAATGTGTGCCACCTTGTTGTTCTTGAGAAGAGGGTTCTGCAAATATATTATGGGTATATTGTATTATTTCACCTATCCTATTATGTTTTGTAAAAACTTTTATTTTGTCCTACCTTTAATGTTGTCCTGTATGTGTTTGTGGCCTGCTGTGTTTTTACTGTTCTAGGTTGTGGTGTACCACGTATATATACTCCTTGTGTCTCCGATGTTAGTGTGGGCCGAACTATTTAACTTTTTTCAAATATTGGTGTGACGGACCAGAATGAAACAAACCATAGTCACAGAATGTTGCTTCGTGCACCATCTAATGACAGGAAAATCTCTGTGCTCAGACTGCTTCTGAAAGACAAATATTTTGTTTTATTGCAGTATATTGATATCCAGCCTTTGTCATATATGCCTGGATAAAGCAGCAGTATACAACCAACCTTGGTTAAGGGAATTGATTTTGTTGCAATATCAATCTGATGATGAAGCAAGGAACCACCAATTAAGGCTTATTTAATGAGGCAGAGGATTATATTCCAGTGTTCAGTCTGATGTTAGATTCAGAAAAGAGAAACAGCTGACTTCTCCCAAAGTTTTCTTGTTAAATGAACATGAGGTCACTTCAGACACTCTATATAGAGAGTTAAATTTTGGCCAAAATGCATGTGAACAAACTAGAAACTTGTGAACCTTTCTGTACACTGAGATGTGATTAGATAACAGCTAGTCATTCTGCTGTAGATTGTGTGAAATTAATTTTAATATAAATTGGCATGTGATGTATATAAGAAGAAAAGACAAATTTTATGATTCAGGGACCAGTAAAACAGTAGTTGGTTTCAAAGGATGTATCTGTCTCACATTGTACAGTGCAAATAATAATCTACAAATTTAATTATTTCTGGCACATCTCAACATATTTCTTTACCAAATAAAAATTAACTACTTCATATGGTATTAAAATTATGCAAGAAGGCATGTGATATAGTTTTCCATAAAAATCTTCCATATTTTTTGGTCAGTATATAATGGAAAGAAAAGTAAGTATAACTGACTTAACCCTGTGAGATTTCTGAGCAAAAATCAGTAATATTCCAACATGAAATATTAGATGCTAGAAGGAAAAATGTGTAAAGTTGCTAATTTTAAAATAATTTTCCAAGCTGTGGCTGCAAGGTAAAATCTTCAGACAGGTATAAATTATGAATGGCTGATGCCTTGAGACCTACTTGTTAAGAAACTGTGACTATAAGTGATAACATATCAGATATGTTAAAAATATTTTGAAATATAACCTTCCGAAACCCAGTCTGTCTACTGTTTGATATAGCCTTCCTTTATAAGTATATGAAACATGAATAAATATATACGCTATGCTCACAGTTACTAAGGATAGATGTATGTAGTATTTTGCTTCTGAATCAAATGTGAGGGTCTTCAGCAAACATATAGAGTAACATATACTCTGGCCCTGCTGTAAGACAGAAACTGGTACAAAATTACCACTAACCTTATTATTTCAGTGTTGCACTTCACATCTGAGTTCTGCTGTGTTTATGATAGTACATTTTGCTCCATATACACTAAGGAGAATTGGTGAAAGAGATGTAAATATTTCTTTCCATACCCAACACTCATTTCATATTGAGGATATTTATCTGAATGGTTTTAAGGGCCAGTTTTAAATATCCCCAATTCCTGACTTCATAAATGCCACTTGTACAGGCCACTTTTAAGCTAACCTTTGTACTTGCAGCAAGAATAGTGTGTTTGCCCAAAATATAAATGCCAAAAATATCACAAAGCCTCATGTTTCAACGTGAAACACTGGAAATTTTATGTTTACCTTTACAAAAATGGAAACCTGAAGGCACTGTAAAACAAAAAAAGAAGAATAAAAGTTTGTGCACGAAATGTTCTCTTTAAACTCTATATCTTGCACTTTTTCATGCTTTTGGTATGGTACATAGGTACTGGCAGTAGAACAGAAAGCGGATGGGTTTAAGCCAGCTGTGTATATGTACACGTGTGTTCTTTCTGTTCCCATAAATGGGCAGGAAGAACTACTCTCTCTTAGTGTGTGTGTTCGTAAGCAGTCAGCAGTTGAGAAGAAAGAAATAAAAGAGTCAGTATGTTCATCTGAAATGTGAATTATGCAGAAATTTTTACCATAAAATGTTGAAAAATAATATATCTGAAAATGTTGCAGTATCGAGTTGGAAGACTAAAGTAATAAAATGGCCAGTATAAATCTCAGGATTCCTTCAGCTGTTGTGAGTAGTTCTGAATTATTCCACACGTTCATACTACGTGCATGTGGAAATCATCTCATAACGTTAAATGTTATAATTGATGTGTCCAGAAATGTATCACATAAAATAGTGCAGTATTTTGAAATATGGTCTGTAATATGTCCAAAAATATGTTACATCAAATATATTTTTGAAAACTTGGCAGAACTGAAATACCATTATCTCTTACAAATGGTGCTTGAATTCAATATTTCCATTCTAAATTAAATAAAATTATAATTATCTTAGTGGCTACAAATATATGTAGTTACTTTGTTTGAAATAATGTTTTCTGTTTTGAAAAAAGGAAAGGGAATCCACTAGCAAAAGAAGATTGAACATTACTGCTTTGAAAGAGTGCATGTTGTGTGACAGAAAAATTTGAAGACTTAGTCTTCAGTGCACTGCTGGTGCTCAGGGAAATTGCATATAGTCAGGAGTTCCACTCTGACAAAGGTCTGTATATTTGAGGAGTAATGTGATAATTATTAAATGAATGGATTTTGATTTCTTTTTGTTGTGTGAACAGGAAGAGTTCTGAACAATCTCTAACCCATATAGACACTCAAGAAGATGAAAATTTTAATTACATTTTACAGTTTAGGCATCATTGCATTCTACATTTCTGTAATATTTTTCTCTTTGGAATAATGATGAAGCATCCATATTTTGATATCATTTGAGACTAAGGGCAGGCCAGTGAAAGATGACAAAAAGAGTCCAATTTATTTAGTTGTGTTTCTCCTGAAATAAAAAGTTCAGCAATACCAAAATATGTGAAATGTGCCATCTAGTGGCTTCTTTGATTTGCTTTCATGACACAGTGCAGTAGACCAACACTTTTTTTTCTTTTTGCATGCATTGCCATATTTAATTTGCTAAGAAGATGTTTAATAGTGAGTTGGTTTCATGTGTAAAAATGTGATAATGTTGAGGTAATATGATGACAGAATCCATCAATGTAAAAGCCTAAGCCTTGCAGTTCTGCCATTATGTAGAGCTACTGTTGATCAGAATGAGGGGTACCAATGCTTCATTTAGGTATTGCAATTGTGATTTATTGTATAGGAATGGACTGGGGGGGGGATAATATGTGGAAACTTCAGACAGAGATGGAAATTGTCTGTTTCAATGGTTCTGTCCATTTGTTGCATTTGAGATCATTCAGAATGATGAGCGTTTGCATGTTACTGCAAGGGAAAATTACGAGGTGTGCATGGGAAAAAAATTAGTATATGCGAGTACTGTCAAAATAATAGCTAATAGTGAAATTTATAACATGTCTGTCTCTTTAGTTTGTTTCTGAGGGCCAAGTTAATTAGCCACTGACTGTTATAGTTGACTGAAATAACTGTCTCTCTGTTGTTCAATGGTGAACTAGACAGTGATCATTATGCATTTTCATAGCCAATTGAAGAAAAAGAGAGGTTAGATATTTTAAATGAGGTTTGTTTTTGTGGGCAGCCCCTGCAGAAAATAACAAATCTTAATAGCAGTGCTTAGAGCATTGAGCTATCAGCAAAATTGTAATTTGCCTTTGTTAAAATGATCAACATAACTATTCTCATATTCTAATATTTATTAAAAATCCACTACATGTTTTGACCTATATTGGTCATCTTCAGGTGGTACAATATCTGAAACATTAACTAGTGAAATGTAATTCTCTCTTACTGTCTTATTAAAAACATGGATCCATGTTTTCAGAAAGACAGAAAAAGGGAATATCAGTTCACTAGTTAATATTTCAGATACTGTTCCATCCCAAGATGACCACTATAGGTCAAAACATGTGGACTCCTAATAAATGAGACTCTGATAAAAGTAATGTTGAAGGTTTTTGAAAAAATGTAAGATACAGTTTTACTGATGGCTGAATATAAAAAATTGGAAATGCTTGAGAGCATACTGTTATTCTCTCAAGTTGACTATCTTGGTATACATCTAGCTGTATTTTAAGAAATTTTCAATCTATTGTGGTTTGGCATGTTTGACACTGTTTGTTTTAATGATTTTCCATTTAAATTTCAGTGTGCTGTATGCTAGTTTTAAATAAATGTATAAATTTATCAACCATGAAATAAGCTCTTTTTCTTCTTTTATATTTTGTGGCTTTAGAGTTCTTTGTTTCCAATACATTAATTCGAAACCATATTTACAAACATCAGCTCTGGTTTAGAAGCCAAGTGCTGCTCGTTTGATTTATCAGTATCTTATGCAAATATCACTGGTCCAGGATAACTCCACAATTGTAAACATGATGCTCAGTTAATTATGAACTGACCTCATGATATATTTGTGCAACAGGTATGTGAGCTTAAATTTGGTTTTTGTGTTCCACATGACTAAGTTACTGAAAGTTATAATGGGCATAATGGTAATTCCTGATTTACACTGATAACATGCATATTTGCTTGACACTTTTTAGGATAATTTTTTGCTTTGTACTGTCCAAATATTGTTTCTGATAGTGCATCTTTTTTGTATTTATGTTTGCATTTTTGAATTGCTCTGTCATTTTGGGTGTAATATTATAAACACAATTTTTAACACATTGACTGTGCTGAGAAACCTGAAATATTTCATGTCTGATTTTTCAGCACACTGTGCACTGAACCACAGGTTTCATCCAGATTCCTCATATTGTGGGGGAGGCATTGTAATGTGAATCTGCATAATATGAACCCAGGTTTACATCGTACACCACAGTAAAACTGCTGACTTCTCCGAATTCTCTCAACTTGATTATACAAAGTCAGAAATTACCAAATTTCTGGTAGTAAAATAATCTATTATTGAATATCTTTTAGGCATGCCAGTTGTATATCAAATACCATATCTTGCGTGGACAGAAAGAAATTGATGTGTTTACAAGTAGACATAGTTTTTAAGCATTTTAAAGTTTTCCGTACAAATTAAATCTACTAAAATATTCAACAACAATAATACCAAACCTCACTGCCAGACACTGTCCTGTATCAGTTCCATCCATGTCCTCTCCTCACACCCTAGTTCCCTAAGCTCCATTTATCCTCCCATGACCTCCTCAGCCTTCCAAGACATTTTACCTGCAAAATACTGTGCAAATTTGTTGTAACCCTTTATAGGTTTATGCCCATCCCAAAATAATCACTTTGATTTCTCTACCCTACCAGCACTATGTAATATTTTTGTTTTGTAATATCCTAAATTGCACACATCTTGATATTATGGCATTCTGGGTCGATGTTATGTAGTCTAGACGTAGACTTTTAACCTGAAGATGGATGTAGTATGTTCTCCGAAACGTTGGTACCCACTTACCAGACTGTATGATGTCATAACTCAAAAACCAAATGTGACTTCACTGCTGTGACAATCTTAAATCTTACATATGTAGACACAGTTCATCCTTCTTATATCAAAATAATTTCCTGGACACTTCATTTTCATTTCATCAATGCCTCAAAGCAAAATACTTTTTTAATAAACCATACCAAATTATTATTTTATAATGTTATATCTTAATCTATAAGGTTTTGGAAAGTAGAAAGGATGATATGTCATGAACTGAATCACTTTCTGAATTTATTTTTCTGATACTTTCATCATCAGCCACATTCCTATTTCTTGTTGTTAGAGGAAGTTAGAAGAGGAAGCAAACACTGAACTTACCCTTTAAGATACTTTGTTGTGTCCATTTTATGATGCAATGTGCATATGCATTTAAAGTGAGACATTGGATTATTTGTCTTTGTAATTATTCAAGCATCCTTTCCTCTTTATGAATCTGAGTAACTGAGGGTGTACTGTGCTTTATTCTTGGAACTAAACTATGTTGTCCTAGTATTATTTTATCTGAACACGGGAAGAAATTCTTTTGATGCATTTATGAGTGGTTGGTTTCTCATGAGCTATACTATATTGTAGAACTTTGAAATTTCTTTATTCCAGCATTAATGTACCATCATTCATGGAAAGGAGAAAATGGAGTAATGACATTTACTTCTAGCAGATCTGTGTGAAACCATTTGAATGCTTTACTCTTTTCCGAGCATAGGTATTTGGATAAGTGGAAGTATGCCGCTGATACTTTTATCATATTGAGATTCTCTGACATTGACAATAACTTGAAATTTTTATACTTAATCATTTTAGTGACTGTCAGTTCAGATTTAACTTAATTTTTTAAAGTAATATTTGTTTACATGTCTTGGTTGTACAGTTTTCTTCACAACTCTATTCTGACACTGATCGTCATACACCTCTGTGGTTTGGTGATTTGTTTGTTTTGGGTGCATTTAATAAGGCTGTGTGAACTGCATGGAACTTAGCAGGATGGCTCAAGAATTAATGCTTCTGACTTATATTTGGAAGGTGGATGGTTTGAATCTTGGTTTGTACAGTGGCTATCCTGACAGATTTTTCATAGTTTTCCCTAGTCCCTCCAGGAAATTACAAGGATACTACCCCAGATTAGGTCAGAAACGTCTTCCTTCCATGTCTTTTCTAATTCATTACTTATGAAATCATCCTGTCATTCAGTGCTGTGTACTGAGTTGACTGACATCATTTTTAAATAAATAAATAAATAAATATGTAGTTACTATAGGATTCTGACGATGGTGTGTAGTTTTTCATAGTTTTCCCTAGTCCCTCCAGGAAATTACAAGGATACTACCCCAGATTAGGTCAGAAACGTCTTCCTTCCATGTCTTTTCTAATTCATTACTTATGAAATCATCCTGTCATTCAGTGCTGTGTACTGAGTTGACTGACATCATTTTTAAATAAATAAATAAATAAATATGTAGTTACTATAGGATTCTGACGATGGTGTGTAGTTTTTCATAGTTTTCCCTAGTCCCTCCAGGAAATTACAAGGATACTACCCCAGATTAGGTCANATTTCCGAGACTGGATCTGTTTCCGTCCTCAGGTGAGGGAAAACACCTAGCCTCAATTGGACCTTCCAGTGATTGAGGCTAGGTGTTTTCCCTCACCTGAGGACGGAAACAGATCCAGTCTCGGAAATGTGTTTTTCTTAGTTATCTTAAAACCAGGACGGTGGATAAAGTCCGAAAACCCAATATCTCTGTGTAAATAAATATGATTCAGAACTGTTAACTTTATAGCTAATAATCAGAGTCATTACTATGTTCATTTGTCTTGTCTGTGTCACTACCTAAATCACCTAAGAGAACAACATTTTAAAGATAGGATATGCTTAAATTCTCACCAGTATGGTGAAAATTGCACTTTTTGGTTTAGTCCATTCAAAGCATCTGGACACCATATCAAAATTTTCTTTCCCAGTATGGTATGTGAAACAGGCAACTAAAAATATCATTTCTGTTCTTTTAAACTTTTCCATTCAAGTTGTGTCTTACCACCTGTGCCTAATTGAACACTTTATATCCTATGGTATTATTATACATATATGCTTACCAAGCAGAAAATGGTAAATATAAACATTGTTCAAAAATTGCCTTGGGAATCACACACATGTTAATTTTCTGGCCACTTAACAAATGATCTCTACAGGTATACTTAAGTTTCAGGTCTGAATGTCACCAATAAGTACCTTAAAATGGTATGGCTGACAGATAGATGGAAAAATGTTATGATTTATTACATGTAGGTAGTGATAAAATATTACCTTTAGACAAAAGCATGTTTCTGTTAGTGAGTTAATTTACCAATGAGTGGTAAATAGTTAATCAGTTAACATTCCAGCTTTCTGATGTGACATATGTGTAAACCATGAAATGAACTGTGACCTGTTTTAACCAACATGAACACAGTGGGTAAACAGTATTATCTTTCAGTTCATTTTTATTTGCTACATTTGCCATCGAAGATGTCTTCGAATGACATGTGTACTTATGTATTTGCCTACAGTTGTCATAATTTTAAAGTAAGCAGAAATCTGATCATTTTGCAACGTCATATGACATATACTAGTATCTTATGAATTGTAAAATGTGTAGACCTTGTTCTGAAGTATGGGTAACTGAAGGTCCACAGTATCAGCCTTGTAATCGTAACCTGATAGGCACTGGACATGCCACGTTGCTAGATTGGCAAGAGAGATTATTTCACACAATTTGCTCTCCCCTGTTGTCTGAAATGCTAGAATATTCTTGTATACGCATGAAAAATTATCTAGATTTCAGGTTTATGTCTGTTAGCTAATAGAACCATATTCAGATATTTGTATTCTTGTAAGTTGAAATTATCATGTGGAATTGATTAATCTCATTTAACTTCTGACTGTACTGTAATTTGTGCAGCTCTAAAGTAAGATCAATGAATGCATGATTTTCTGTTTTGTCATCATGATGTCTGGAACAGATGCACATTTTTTATTTCTGTACAGTTATAATTATTTCTTCCCAGCTTTGGTTTGATTTGTGTTTCTGTGCACTCAACCAGTTTGTGTGAATATTTTTTATACCATGCATAACATACATGCATCCACATCTTGCTCACACCTGTTGCAGAATCTCTGCCGATAAACATCATTGCATATGGGACTGCTGGAATTTGTTCCACATTCTGACAAACTTTCTGAGTTTATCGTTTACAAATGTATGTTTTTTATTTTGCAGTGCATACAGTCCTTCACCATACATAAAAATGAGAAGATAATTCTGAAGCATTATGCACAGTAAAATTGTTTTCCTGTTGCTGAATGCTTCAAAAACATTAAAATAATGGGGCTGATAAAATATATTTCATTTAATAAAAATTGTTAGGACTGTGCTTTTTCCAATCAGCATGCAGACTTGCCAAAAGTTTAACATTGTGTTGTATGTTTTGATCTTGATGCTGAAACTGAGCATAAGAGTACCAGTACACCTATTCTTAGAGAAATATGGATACATATGGATGTTCATTAATTTTCCATATACATTGTTTAAGGGAATATTAATTCTCACACATACAAACACACATGTCCAGATGTGAGAACAGAAACTGACAGTTTTGTAAACAGTAAATTGTTGCGCAGATCAATTGGTAGTTGCAATTTGAGCTGTTAAAGTTCACATAAGCCCATCTGAATCAGCAGCAAAGTTACAATTTTTCTTTCTTATTGCTAACATATTTCAGTTGTTGTTTTAAAATAATTAGACTTTGCTGACAACCTTCAGTTTTAATACTGGATAATAAAATCACATTTCAATGAAATCTAATTTCTTTCATAAATTCACAGTATGTCTTACGATTTTCATTTCATTCATTCTGTTGTGTTACAATATAAAACTTTATTAACCGTCACAACACAACAAATATCAAGGTCAGTGCCCAGCCTTGATATTTCTTGTGTTGTGACGGTTAATAAAGAAGTTGTATATTGTACCACAACAGGATGCATGAAATGAAAATTGTAAATGCTAGTCAAGCAAGTTGCATATATGCTGGGCACTGACCTTGATATTTGTTGTGTTGTGATGGTTAAGAAAGAAGTTGTATGTCTTATGACATTACTGTTGGAAATATCAAAGTTAACATTACGATTATGGTGGCATGACTGTTTTAATTCCTGATCCATGATTCATTGTCAGTGCATAGAATAATGTTACTATTCCAGCACATGTTCACTGTAAATTGAAATAAACTATCCAGTGAACTGTAAGGAAGTCTAAATTATTCTGAGAGAGTGCTTGAACTGTGTGCTTAAAAAAGGTTCAAGTAGTGTTGTGATATGTGGAAAATAAGTGTGATACAATTTAAAAACATCTTATAATTGTGATTCATAATATAATTAAATCCAAAATTATAACCATAGAATACAACGTGCACAGTGTACTTTTTTGAGGCATTACAATATGATGTGCCCATTGTATTTTTGTCTGTCTTTGTCGTTATCAGGGTCCTTGCATGTTGTATTAGCAAGCTGTCACCATTTACATAATATGTTATATTACTCAAGTAAATTCAAATGAAAGAATGTTAAGAATAAATCCTTATTGTAATTTTGTACATGGCATCATCTCAGTAAGTACTGTTATTGAGTTTCCCAAGGAAGAAGTTGTATTAAACCCAGTTATTTAATATACATGTGGATGAAACTGTATATGCACATAGAGATGATACTACATAGAAAATTACAACATTTTTTTATTCTTAACAGGTTATTAGTTGTACTCAGTGCTTTATTTATACATACATGAAAGCAGAATTCATACTTGTTGGATATAGCATTGGTCATATATTTTTTTAACTAAACTTCACCCAAATAATGTAACATTTTACATTAATCTTTATAACTTACTGTTGATACACATGAGACCCATGGGATGATAAGACTGACAGAAATGTACTGGCCACATCATATTATAATAAAATGTGTTTTCTTGTAAGTACATTGTGTGTGTTCTATCTGATGGTTATAATTTATGGTTAGATTTGTATAACTGCAATCAGTGAACTCATTGGAGCAAAACAACTTTCTGTTATTGAGCCTAAGTAGTAACAGGACAGTTTCAAGTTGATATTAGTATTTCTCTGTCTGCTTTGTTCATCACTTGGCTTATTCTTCTGATGTTTATTGTGTCATATCTAGAAAGTAAAATATTGTGACTGGAGAATTTATTGTTATTTATTATTTTATTTAACAATGCTTTATTAACTGTATAAGTAGAAGTAATAGATTAATCTGAGTGATAATAAATTGGGAAGGGCATGTAAGGAAGTAGTTGTGGCCTGTTTAAATATATTACTGTCGTATTTATCTGGAGGGACAAAAGAAGACCACAGAATATCTCGGGATGGTTGGTCTCCAGTTCAAGATATCAACACAGGATATCTGAATTATGAGGCAGAAGTGCTAATATCTACACTGATGTATGGCCACTATACCCATGCCAAGAATTGCAACAGTATAATGTTTAAAGTATTAATACTGTAATTGTGGTGGAAGGATGTAGAATGGTGGTAGGCAAGGGTTGCATGATAAAGTTTGAGAACGAGTGATTAAAATTTGACAAGACATCATCAGCTAAGGATTTACTAATAATATATGGTGATGAAGTGAATTGTTTGTATAATTGTATCTGTTTTTAGAGCAGTATGGTTCAAACAAATTTTGATTTCATCAGTGATCATAATTTACATCTGGCTATATCTGAAAATAAAGTTTGTATATTTGACATTTTCTAACATAGTTACAAATGTACAGATTTATATATGTGCTTTATTAATGCTTGAAAGCATCACAGTATAATCAAATGTAATGTACAGTAAAGAATTGGAATACATTAACTAAGCTGTTTCATTCTTACCCATATAGTTTCTGGGTCAGGGGACACAAAGGTATAAGTCTAGGCCCGGGTCACCTAAGATGTTCGTTTCATGGTGTTAAATATGCTGTTAAGAAATTGCTTCAGTACCAATTCAAACAGGATCTGGAAAGAAAATGAGATGGAATATCCAGCAAGCTCTGTTTAAAAGTAGACTTTTATGTACTGCAATGTAGTGTCCATTTATTTGTTGTGTAAAAAATTTTCTGAACTTTCATTGATTTTGACCAGGGTTTGCTCACAGTTAGTCTGAATTAGTGTGGTCTTATTGTATGTTTAATTCAGAGAAATTAACACTTTAAACAGCATATCAAATTCTCCACAAGCAAGCGCCCAGTTTTTCAAATAAGAATGTTGAAATGTGTTTTATATGAATTTTGGTATCTTATTTTTTAAACTTGGGCACTTATACACTTTCTTGGTGCTCATACACACCACAAGTAACAATATACTACCACAGTTCTTACGATTTTGGGAGGACCGAGCCTCCACACCCAGTCGGAAAAAAACAGGCCCAAAGATGTGGCCATAAAGTTGTGCAGAGAGTGGAAAGTGAGCTCATGTTTCGGAGGAATATATCGCCTCCATTTTCAGGGTTGAATAAGACAAGCTAGATACTAGCGTGAAGCAGGTGGCAAGCCGAACCACGACAAGATTGGTCTTGGAATGTGTCCGAGGACTGAACTGAGCTGAACTGAACTGTACCGAACCGCATGGAGCGGAGCGGAAGGTATGTAAGCAGTTCAAGGCATCCATAAGTGAGTGAGTGAGTGAGTGAGTGAGATGTTGACTGATCTTCCGATGGTGCTCGAGTATTCATACACATGTCTCTTATCTGTTTAATTAAAATATTGCTGGAAGGCTCATTTGATATTGAGATGGCTAATTTCTATGTATTTATAGACGATTCAGTCCATTTTTTCTTATTTCATCACAAGAATGTTTACATAGTTACACTACTTACGTATGAAGAACTACTTGTTACGGCCCTTTCTTGTTAACCATCAGGTGATCATGTATGTACCGAGTTTTTGTGTTTTGAGTAAGGTGAATTAACTACGATAATTTTAAAGTTATAGTTAATATTGTGACGTGTTTTGTCTACTGAAGACGCCGTTCGGATTGTTAATTGATTTTATTAACAACCTACAAGTAACTACAATTACTTACACGGTGTCCCCAGGATCTGTTAGGACCCATTTTTTTAAATTTTGCCCTGCAATGCCATCTGTTTGAGAGTTATGGCGTTAAGATTCTTGAAGTTTCAGCTGTGGCTCTCTATAATTTCAAAGCGCAAGCATCACTGCATTATGTGTTCTGACGTTCGTCGGAAAATGGCGGTTGAACAGAGAGCCAACATCAAATTCTGTCTGAAGTTAGGCAAAACAGCTGGAGAAGCGTACGAAATGATGAAAAGTGCGTACGGGAGTGATCATTTGAGTCACTCGAACATTTTTCGATGGTATGCTATATTTCGTGACGGCAGGGAGGGCATTGAAGATGCTCCACGTCCATCAAAGACAAGAACAAGTTGCACTTAAGAAATGTGGAAAAAGTGACTGAAATCCTTGCATCAGACAGATGTGTTTCTGCAAGACCCATTGAGGAACTTTTTGGAATACCAAACTGTACTGTGCATCAAATTTTGACCGAGGATTTGGGCAAACGGAAGGTCTGTGTGCGGTTTGTACAGCACGCACTGTCAGGCGATGAAAAACATGCCAGAGTGGAACACTGCAGACATGTTATGGTTGGCCCTGGCTACCCATTTCTTATCCTGGATATAATAGGACAGTTTACTTTTCTTATCAATTAGAAAGTGCTCTACTTCCTTTCAGAGTTCATATAACCTCTTGAGAGCTTTACCGCGGGACAACCAACGAACTTCCAAATGGAAAAGAAGATTTTGATGATCAGAGCCAATTTCATTGCACAATGCTTTTAATAGTCTTGTACTTAAAGTACTGTTTTTTATATAATTAATAATCTTAACAGATTGAGACAGAACTTCATTAAGCTCAGGTGCCATTTTTTTGGATGCCAGGTTTTGCCTATGAATGTAGCAATGCGTTGACACTAAGTTATTGCCTGCCATATTCTTAATTTTAGTGACCAAACCTGAATTTCTACCTGTAAGACAGGCAGCACCATCAGTGCAAACTCCAACACAATTTTTCCATTCGAGACCTCTCTCTTCAAGGAAACCATTTAAAACTTTGAAAATTTCACTGCTGGTAGTGTGCGTAGGTAATTCAGAAACACTTAAAATGTCTTCCTTCGTGTCACTCTTATCATGGTCAATATATCGTACATACATATGTAAAATGCTGCTGTTCTGAATATCTGTAGATTCGTCCAGTTGTAATGCAAACAATTTCGATTTTTTTCAGTAACTTGCGTTCCTGTATCTTCTGCCATATCAGATATCCTCCTACCAACTGTATCATTCGACAATGGGATGTCTTTCATTTTACTCACCGCAGACTAGCCTAATACAGCAGCAATCATAGAAGGCTTAATGACTTCTTCCCCAATGCAATATGGTTTTTTACATTTAGCTCTCTGTAGTGATATTAAATATGATGCCGTCAGAAGTGAAGTATCAGTGGTTGAAGCTTAGTAAATAATTTTCTTTTCTACTTTAATTGCATCTCTTTTACCCATAAAGAATTCAATGGGCTTGTTGGCTAGATCATAATGTCTTGTGTTGAGATGTCGCGTAAGTCGCGATGGCTTCATAGCTTCATTTCCCAGAACAGTAGCACAAGTGACACATTGAGGTTGTGGCAATTGGTCATTGTTATGGCATTGTATGAAACCAAATTTCAAGTAGCTGTCCATGTACTTACGAGTGGATGCAGACGTTTTCTTCTGTGTGCTGGTGATTTTCCCTTCATTTTGTACATCCTGGAGATCGCTATGTAGGCTTGAGGTGGATGACTCACTACTTGTTGTGTTACAAACACCTTCAATACGAGATTTCTTAACACAAAAATTAAACAAAGTCCCCTGTATCTTATTCATATTAAAATTTAAATCACTCAAGTTTCAAAACAAGCACTTACACACTGCAATGCGAACTTGAAGAGAAACAGTATTCAGTATTACTAGATTTGAGAACCGGATACAGACTGCCTTGATCTTCAATTTCAGTGGAAACATTTTCTTTATACTTCCTTGCTGATTGGTCACTGACATTTGCTACACAGATTTAGGTATTCTGTGTCTGAGCTTCTCGACACAAATATTATTCTCCTCAGAATATTTCCACTACGCAAGTCACACCTATCTTCTTCTGTTGGAGTATTCTTCCCACTTTCATGTGTATTGTGCTTTATGTTGTATCTTACTCCTGTGACTGCGTGTGTTATACTCGCGTACTGAAATACGACATAATGATGACAAATTCTGAACAGTTTTAACATTTTTAATATTTAAAATTTAGCAATATATATGACGAATATATATTTTAGTTATTTTAGTATAAAGACAACAGGGCATGCAATGCAGTAGTTCGACGTACATCGAAAAGCACCTGAAGATGGCACTTTAGTGCCGAAACATGTAGTGCAAGAGAGAAGAGTAAGGTGAATAAATGTATGCACTGTAAGACGGTCAGAATAAATCATGGACATAAAATATTTATTCATGAAGAATGCTTAGAAAATGAGAATAACAAATTCCAGAAGAGCCTCTCCCGGCCCAGTATAATTGATGCCAGGGCCCACTACTGGGCTGCGGCCAGGCGGTTGAGAAGCACTGCTATAGGCTGCTCAGGTCCATCGCAGCCCCCGAGCTACATGGTTAATGCCCTCCATTTAACCTTCCCTTCTCTCCTCTAACACATACTCTATACCACTTCTGGCCCACTACCTGCTAGCTATTCCACCAGACCCGTCCCCTCCCCTTCTCTACTATTTCACTATGTAGCCACACTCCTCTCTTTTCTTATACAGCTGTGTTTACTCGATTGGACTCAGTCTGTTGCACCTACTCTGCTGGTTCGCTCGTGGATTCCTTCTTGTCTTCTACCCTGAAGGTGGAGGCGATACGTTCCTCCGAAACGTCAGTTAACACAATTTCTACACGGCGCCACATTCCAGAAGACGGCTTCCTTCATAGTCACTGCCATGAAAACCTCAAATCTTTGAATATTAAAATAGATCTTAAAGATATAGGATGGGATGGTATGGATTGGATTGATCTGGCTCAGGATAGGGACCAGTGGAGGGCTCTTGTGAACACGGTAGTGAACCTCCGGGTTCCATAAAATGCTGGGAAATTCTTGAGTGGCTGCAGAATTGGTGGCTCCTCCAGAAGGACTCAGCTCCATGAGTAAATAAGTAAGTAAGTATTCTTTTATTGCTAGTGGCATAGGACTGAGTCCCTTGTACTGCGGCCACTTCTGGCCTGTTGTACCAGCCCCAGACGATAGGTGACGGTGATTGTGCAGCAATTGGTGGAATGAAGATTGGCAGGGGAAACCGAAGTACTCGGAGAAAACCTGCCCCAGCGCCATTTTGTTCACCACAAATCCCACTTGACCAGATTCGGGAGCAAACCCGGCCCGCCGCGGTGGGATACCAGCGACCCCAGCGACTAACCGCTTGAGCTATGGTGCGGCTCTATTAAGTAAGTAATACCAGAAATTTCGAAGTATTGAAGGTGAAACACTGACGACGCTAACGCCTCCTAGCTCCAACTCGTGCGGAAACTACCAACACCTGTTTATCTCACCAATGCTAGTGCATTCGCATCGGTTCAAGACAAAGACCAGTTCATGTGGAGATGTGGAGTTGGTCGATTGAACTACCGTAACCGGATTCGTTTAAGTATTTTAGTTGGCGTACGGTTGGCATCGATTTCCCGGACGAGACCGCGAACCCTGCGTCATACGCCCTAGTGACGTCACTTCCGTCTGAGTAATTCATTCTCGCAGTTGGAGGAGGAGCCAGAGAATTTCCTTTTTCGGTAATAAGTGAAGTTAGTTTCTGTGGTGTGACGGTTCGTGGTATTTGAGGTTTAGTAGCTAGCAGAGAAGAGTGCATGGTGTTATTTTACATGCCATTGTAAGTTGGAAGATTATATTTATGTAAGTATATCATTAAGAATTGGCGCAGAAATGAGTCACTTTGTTGTAAAAATTGCAGTTGGTGTGATATTGCAGGAGTGGCCAATATTTCGTAATAATACACAGGGTTATGACCGAATCAGTGAACATGAATTGTTAATGTTTTAGAATTGATTGTTTCAAGATAGGTCTCTTGTAGATAGGGCTCTTTGTGTTTGCCACATAAAATGCTGTTTTCCATGTTTTCAGTTATTGTCATGCAAGTGATTCTGTAGCATTGAATTGCCCATGCATGAAGCTGATTTCCAATCTTATGAATGTATATGAATGTAGTTCGTCATTGAAATCATTTTCATGGAGACACACTTTGTTTTAGGGACCATTACGTTGTACAAGTAGAAAGCAAAGAATGTAAATCAGTTTTACGTTTCTTGTGTAGGTATGGCCCAGGGTAATAAGCCCCACCTCCCCCTTATGTTTCATATGGGAAGATACATGTCTGGTCAGTAGGCTAATGAATTGTACTGAAGTTTCTCTTCTCACTTTCTTCCTAAACATAATCAGCACTGAAACATTTGGCTCTTCTAAGTCTGATTGGTTAGTAGCGTAAATGAAGGCAAATATAAATTCTCAGCTATATGGAATGCGCTTTATATGTGGATACATGTGCTTGTTTTATTGAGGTAATTTCTAATATGTGGTCTTCGTAACAGAAATTAATCTCTGTGCAAGCACCACATGAAACTGTAATGGTAAAATAATTTCACATTTCAGGATTGAGCAGTTTGTATTTTAAGCAGTGAGTTTAAATGAAAGGAAATTAATTTATTAACTCATTTTATAGAAAGAACTCTTTTGTAACAGAACTGAAGAAGCATCACTACTCTTCCAACATTTGCCAATTGTCACGGTCCAGAACCAGTCATTCAGTTCGCATCTTTGTGACTTATTTATGCAGTCATATTTTGACGTTCATCTGTCATTTCCTAGTTTTCCAAGTGGCTTCATTTCAAAAGATTTTTTAAACACTATAATTTGAAGTAATTTATATAAATGAACTTTATTGTATCATTATTGCTTCTTTGAGGAAACTGCATCACAAATTATATGCACCAAAATGTATAGTAAATTGTTACATTTAGTCACAATAAGTTAGAATTGGCTACTAAATAGGAGACTTACAACCGCAGAATACTGATTAGCCATAGTTAATTTCTGTTACAGTTCAGAACCATAAAGTACCATATATTGTAGTGTTTTGTCACTTTCTTTCCATGCCAGAAATAGTACTAGAAAGGGGTATGTTTTAGATCTGTAGTGAACCTGTAACAGTGAAGGTATGGGTCCACTGTTAAATCTACCAATAAATTCCAAAACTTGAAGTGTCTTGTCTTGGATTATTGTCTAGGACTGAGTCATTAGTTTAATTCCAGGCAGAGACAGGAATTTTGCTGTTTAGCTTTGGGATCCATCCATAGTCATATCCAGTGGATACAGGAGCTCTGCCTTAAAGTAGTTCTGGAGATTACACAAAAATGGTTTAACTCAAATAGAATGCTATTAAATTATAATAAGACTAATTTTATGCAGTTCTTTCCAAATACTAGTCGTCGGACTTTGGATGCTATTGAATTCAATAATTATGAAATTAATTCTACTAATTCCATTAAATTTTAGGTATTATAATAGAACCTTCATTAACATGGAAAGAACATATTGATTATATAAATTCAAAGTTAAATTCGTTAGGTTACGTGGTTCATTCCCTCAGACCTATATTAGAATTGAAAATTCTAATACAGGTCTGCTTCTCCTATGTACATTCAGTGATAAATTATGGTATCATGTTGTGGGGTAATTTGCCACACAGTAGATCTATTTTTATAGCCCAGAAATGAATTGTAAGAATTATCATGAAAGCTAAAGCAAAGGACTTCTGTAAGGAAATGTTTAGTAAACTTGGGATTTTAACTGTTTACTCCCAGTACATTTGTTTCAACTCTTATGTTTGTTATAAAGCATAAAGGATTTATTCACAATAAATACTGAATTGCATAAAATAAATACCTGCCAAAAATTGGACTTTCATGTTCCATTAATAAGTCTAACTAAAGTCTGAAAAGGAGTCTATTATTCCAGTATTACATTATTTAACTCTCTGTCCCAAAATATCAAGCAAGTTGCACATGACATTAATAAATTTAAAAATAAATGGAGAAATTTTCTTATAGAAAACTCTTTTTATACTGTTGAACAGTATCTTGATAAGAAAATAAATTTGATATTGGGGTATCTCAGTAATTATAGCTTTGTACGAGGGTAAGTCAATAAGTAAGTTACAAATGGATATAGAACTTAAACAAATAAGAGTACTGATTTGAAAAATGCTTTTATTTCTCAGCATAATCTCCCTGTACATTGAGGCACTTGTCCCATCGTTTCACAAGCCCCTGAAAACCAGCAGCATAAAATTCTTTGGGCTGCTGTCGGAGCCAGGCGTGTTCACACGGCATGGCCTACCTCATAATACATGATAGGTTAGGTTTCACGAAGTCTGTGCACGATGGGTACAGCACATGCTGACCCCACACCACAAAATGCAAAGAATGGGTCTGTCATTATGGTACCTCAATCACTACCACAATGAAGGACATGATATGCTAGCCTGAATTGTCACAGGTGATGAGTCATGGGTTTACCATTACCAGCCCGAGACAAAGCCTGTGTCAATGCAGTGGAAACATCCTGCGTTCTCTTGAGGCTGGAATGGGGTGAGCAGTATGCCTTTGTGACCCCAGAAGACTGTGAGCATCACTTTTCTGGAGGATGGCGTCATCCTAAATTTTTTTTTTGGCAGGTGGCGCAGGATTTTTCCGCTGCATTGACGCACGCTTTGTCTCGGGCTGGTAATGGTGAACCCAAGACTCATCACCTGTGACAATTTGAGTTAGCATATTGTGTCCTTCATCGTGGTAGCGATTGAGATGCTGTAATGCCAGACCCATTCTTTGCATTTTATGTTGCGGGGTCAGCATGTGCGGCACCCATCGTGCACATACTTTATGAAAACCTAACCTGTCATGCATTATGAGGTAGGCCATGCCGTGTGAACCTGCCTGGTTCCTACAGCAGCCCAAAGAATTTTTATGCTGCTGGTTTTCAGGGGATTGTGAAACAATGGGACAAGTGCCTCAATATACAGTGAGATTATGTTGAGAAATAAAAGCATTTGTCATACCAGTACTTTTTATTTGTTTAAGTTCTATATCCATTTGTAACTTACTTATTGACTTACCTACATATTTTAGTTTGCAGATGGTAATGGAAGGCTCATTACTGATTCAATATAAATGGCTAATTCCTTTAATTTCTGTTATTCTTCAATATTCAGCTGTGAGCATAGCATCCTGAAATTACAGGGTGCCAACTCAGGTGAACCCTTCGCCATTAATACTAAAATCATTAGGAAAAAGTTAGTAGGGCTAGGTAAAAACAAATCAGTAGGGCCAGACAGCATTTCTAATGAAATTCTAAAACTGGGTGGGGAAACCATGATTCTGAACCTTGCGTGAGTATTGGGCATAACAGTTAATATTGCCACTATCTGAAGTGACTGGAAAAAGGCCATAGTAGTTCCTATTTACAATGGGGGTGACTGATTGCTTGTCTCAAATTACAGACCCATCAGTTTAACCTCAGTGGTCTGCAAGCAAATAGAACACATTATTGCATTGTACCTTAGGAAAATGGGATAAAAAGGATTGCTTATTTGAGGGTCAACATGGATTCAGGCTGGGATATTCATGTGAAAGTCAAGTAATCACAGTTTGCAAGGACATTACAGATGCACTGGATAATGGTAGTAGGATAGACGCTATTGTAATAGATTTTGCAAAGGCTTTTGATTTAGTTCCCCATGAGTGGCTGCTTACGAAAATTGCAGTCTCGGGAGTGGACTTGAAGATAGTTGTGTAGATAAGGGAATTCCTTTTGGGCTGTACACAGAGAGTTAGAGTAGGAAGGCAGTTATCAGAGGAAGTCAGAGTAACATCAGGAGTACCGAAAGGAAGTGTGCTGGGCCCAGTACTGTTCCTTGAGTACATAAATGATATTTGGATAAATATTCATTCAGCTATTAGACTTTTCTCAGATGACTATAATATATAGGAAAATTATAAATAATAATGATATGGAAAAGTTGCAGATAGATCTGAATAGGCTGGGGGAGTGGCCGGCAAAAAATGCTATGGTAATTAGTCCAGCTAAAAGCAAAGCAGTTTGTTTGACGAGATCCCGAGTGACGGAACCACTAAATTATTCATTACCGGACGTAGTAATTCTGGAAGCCAGCAGTTGTAAATACTTGGGAATAATTTTACACAGCGATTTAAGTTGGGCTGTTCAAGTTAATTGCACGGCGAAAGTAGCTTGGAAGGGACTTCATTTTACAATGCATATTCTTAAAAAGGGAAATATTAACACTAAAAATTTAGCCTACACATCACTAGTGTATCCAATTCTTGAATATGGGGTGGTGTTCTGGGATTTTGACAGGAAGGGACAGATAAATGTGCTAGACCGGGTCCACAACATAGCGGCTAAATTTGCACATCATAGAAATGATCCAAATTGGGAAACCTTGACAGAGCGCAGAAAGATAGCTCGCATAGCTCTCTTCAAATCGTATGTGGGAGAACGGGCTTGGAAAGCTATAGGTGATAAATTACAAAGAGCAGGGTTGATCATGATAGGAAAATTAGGAGCAGAAAGCAAAAGACATATCAGAAAACGTTCCTTTGTAAATAGGACCATCGAGCTTTGGAACCACCTACCTGCAGATGCTTTAGGGACTCTCTCCTGTAAATGAAATAATTTTAGGAAAAGGGCTAGGAAAGCAATAAATAAGGTGAGGTGAAGTTAAAGGAGAAATCATCTGACAAGAGTGAAGTGAAGTGAAGTGAAGTGAAGTGAAGTGAAGAGGGATAAAGGGAAAGTCCTGGTGAACTGTGGGTGCATCAGAA